GATAAGAAAGTAAGTAAGAATTGAAATGGGATAGATATTATAAGACATAGACTAATAGATAGCTTCTTAATGTTTGATAGTGAATATGGCATGTCTATTGCATGTTTGATACTCGTTGGGGTTTTTTAATTGTGAGATTAATAAAAATTAAAGACAATTAATAAAAAACTTATAAACCTAAACTGGATTATTTTTGCAGTCTGTTTAGGACCCTGGAAAATGAAGGGAAAAACAACACAATGAGGATAGAAAATCATTTTTATCTTTTTTAAAAGAAAAGTAAAGTAACATTTTAAAGTAAAGTAATTTTTTTTATCTTTTTACAGTTTTTGTAATCTGTTTTAATCATTGTAATTCTGTACCAATTTTGTATGTTTTTAATTGTATTGTGTTTTGTAATGTTCTAAGATGCCCTGAGTCCTAGTCCGGGGAAAAGGGTGGGATATAAATTTAATAATAATACTTGATCCTCTTCCCCACTGCCATTCCCTTCTCCTTTTGTGTCACGTCTTTTCAGATTGTAAGCCTCAGGGCAGGAAAATGTCTAATTAACCATTTGTAAGCCACTCTGAGAGCCTTCGGGGCTGAAAAGCGGGGTATAAATACTCCAAATAAAATAAAATAAAATAAATAAATAATAATAGATCCCCTTCCCCACTGCCAAACCCTTCTCCTTTTGTTTCATGTCTTTTTAGATTGTAAGCCTGAGGGCAGGGAACCGTCTAATTAATTTGTAAGCTGCTCTAAGAGCCTTTGGGGCTGAAGAGTGGGGTAAAAATACCCCAAATAATAATAATAATAATAATGATAATAATACAAAATAATGTTAAATACAATAATAAATATGATAAATATAACAATAATATTAAATACAATATTAAATATAATGATAACGATAACAATAATAAAAACTCAAGACTTCATTTGCAAGAGGCATTCACTTCTCCAAGCCCCTCCCACTTACTAAACCCCGCCCCTTCCCCAAGGACCCTCCCACCTCCCTCGAGGCCCCGCCTCTTTCCCTCCCTCACTCTGCCCCCTCCCCTCACCTTCAGTCTGTTCCATTCTAACTGCCCCCGCCGTATCGGACCGATGGCAGCCGAGACACAAAACGCGGGAGCCGAGCCGAAGGAGGAGGCGGCGGAGGAGAAGGGCCGAGCCAGGCTGGGCCCGGCGGGAAGGGGCGGGCCAGGCCCCGCAGTAGGCCGCGCTCGATCCCCGGCCTCAATTTCTGCGCCCTCCCCGCGGCGCCCGCCTCCCAGCGCGGCTTCCGCCACGGCCGTCAACCCCGCCGCCGTCGTCGTCGTCCCGGGAGGCCTAAAGGAAACCCCGCAAGGCCGCACTGAGGAGGGGGGAAGCGGCCTGACTGCCCCACGCAGAGTCCCGGTCTCGGCCCTGCTCCTTCCCGCTGCCGCCTCGGCCTCCGCCTCCGCTTTCTCCTCACGCACACAAAGCGCCACACACAGGCCGCCCCGAAGAAAGGCCGGCGCTGATTGGCTGGACGCGGCATGACGCACGCACCGGGGCACGCCGGGAAGTGTAGTTTATTTCCCCCTTTGGCTTCTTGGAGGCGTCTTGTGGGGATTTGCCCGCCTTTCTAAGCAGGGCTACTGAAGAGACGGTATTAAATTAACGAGGCAGACATATAGATGATGATGCTAATGCTAATGCTAATAATAATAATAATAATAATATAATAATAAATTTATTAAGTATATTTATATTATTTATTATTATCATATTATTTTTATTATTATTATTAATCATATTTCTTATTATCATTTATATTTATATTATTATTATTATATTATATTTTTATTATATCCTGCACCTTCTCCCAGGACTGGGTTTCAGGGCAGCTTACAACATTAAAAATACAATACAATACAATTAAAAACATATAAAAATAGTTCATTAAAATGGAATTAAAATGAACTCCAGAGTCAAAGGCCAATCCCCAAACCACTACATCACATTGGATCTCCATTATGTATATACAAATCTTCCAAAATCGGCGGTGGGGTGGGGAATCCAAAACCCCAAACACTTTTGGTCCCGTGTATTTTGGTTAAGGAAGACTCAACTTGTATTAGTATTTTAAAATATTTGTTGTACTAATGTATGCAGTGTTGTGCTTGCTTTCCCCTATTACTAGATACACTCATGTATAAGTCTCCCTCATGTATAAGTTGAGGGCAGGTTTTGGGGCCAAAATTATGAATTTTGATATGACCCATGGATAAGTCGAGGGTAAAATTGAGGGGTGTATAACAAAAGGTGTAAAGGAAAAGATAAAGGAAAAGTATGTCAAATAACTTAGAAAATTCTGGTAGCCGTAACTGTTTGTGCTTTCCCTAAAGCCTGGATGGACGAGGAGGAGACGACGGGAAATGGCGGCTATGCGATGTGGAGGCAACCAGGCGAAGAAAAGTAGAGCTAAGAAAATGTGCGCATGGCAAAAAGGACATAAAGGCAAGAGTTCAGGTACAGTATCAACTCTCATCAAAAAAGGAACCATCATCTTCTCTGAGTACAATGGTGAAAGGTGAGAGCTTAGGGTCTTTGCAGACTGCCAGAAATAGTGCAGATTGAGTCCACTTTAACTGCCCTGACTCAGTCTTAGGGAATCATGGGAACTGTAGTTTATTGTGGCACCAGAGCTCTCTGACAGAGAAGCCTCAATGTCTCAGAAAAAAATACAATTCCCATGATTCCCTAGCACTGAGCCAGGGCAGTTAAAGTGGACTCAATTTGCACTATTTCTGGCAGTCTGCAAAGGCCTAGTCTGTCCCAGAAGAACCTAAAAGAAGCACTGACTCCTTCTACTCTCTTGGAATTCCTTTGAGGGGAAGTGCCAAAGGGATCTTGAAAAGATAGCAAATCAGGAATTAAACTGGCTGATCAGTTTACATCTTCTTTAAATTAAAACATATACACATGCAGCAGGGAGATGTGGAAGTGCCTTTAATTAGGAAATAAACTACATTTAATTATGACTGCATTGTATACAAAGAAGAGAAAGATGATGGGTATGTGTGTTGAGCACAGCATCTGTCTTGGTTTCTGATTGTAGCTGCTGAGGTTTGGTATCCTGACGAGAACGGAGAACGCGTACAATAGTTCCAATATAATTTCGGATGGGAAATGCACAGGAAGCTATTTGCAATTCAATCCATTCATGCCTAGATCTCAAGCACTCTAAGTAAATACATTTGGAGATCAAATCTCTTGCATCTCTAAGCCAACAGGAATGTGGAGGAGTGAGAGGAAAGGACCACTGAATTGTATTTGCATGCAGTTACAGTAGTTGCTAAAAATAGCAAAGTGGATTTGGATGAGGTGTGAAAACAGTTACTTGTTCCTAGAATAATCAGCTGAAGAAGCAAGATAAAGTAGGGTGGAAAAGGAGCCATAAAATCTGAGATGTAAGTTTTAACCATGTTCTTAAGAGGTTGAATGTACATCCCCACATTTCTCATTTGCCATTGTACAACCACTGGCACAAGCAAATAAACAAGGTTTTTGTCTTTTTTGTGTTCATGATGTAGTCAGACTCTTCAGAAGGAAATATTACATTTAAATATAGAAGCCTGTCTAAAATAGGGCTAGCCTAGAAGATGGCCATAGGTTACCCTTCCTTTCTTTAACGGAGGTCCCCCTTAATTGATATTGCTGAAATAATCTTGCCAGAGAAGTACAGTAAATGAATTTAAACAAAAAGGGATTGAAGTGTGTCCTGGTTCTTACTGTGTTTGGGATTGAAAATAATGAGATTGCTTGGATTTCCCCTCTTGCTGTTATTTCCCTGCTTTCTTACCTTGTATACACTGTCTTGGGAGTGAATCCCACTGAATTTGGAGGAGTGTGCTTCTCCGTAAACACACTATGGATATGAGTTAAAAAATAATCTGTAGTGGAAAATTCTCCACTGCTGTATTGTTACATGAAAAGTTTCCCATTATAAAAAGTCAATGTTGAATGAAATAGGTTGCATTAAAAAGGTTATAAAAGCAGTCAAACTATGGATAGTTTTAAAGTTTTAATTCATGTTTTTCAGTTTCCTAGGACACATGCAAACATGTGTAATAAATATATATGCACAGATAGTCGTATGCTAATAATTTTGCAATTCCATTTTCCCATTAGTGCAGTGTTCAAACCAGTACACCATGCTAACCACCCCTCTGAAGAAACTTGCCAAGAAAGCCCTGTGATAAGATTGCCTTGGGTTCACTATAAATCAGAAACAACTTGAAAGAGTCTTGAATATTACATAGGTGTGCTTTTCTTTGCTCTGTGCTGCTCATAACACTGCTCTGTTTTGACTGTTCTATAGGCTTGGCAGCAGTTTGATAAATAGGTTTTCTTTTCCCTAGATATCATGTTGTTGTTCTTGGAAAGTGTGCAGAGAAACCTACTTTCAGACTTTCAGGGATGCTTGTTTTTTCTCTGTACTGCCATCAGCACTCCCTTCCTCCATAATCAAGGACACCGAGTATGGGAACATTCATGCATCGAGGACACCTGGAGACTGGAGTCATAGCTGGAAGCAGCTCACTGGTTATCCAGTTTCATTTCTGTTGGCTCTGTAGTTCATCTCAGTCAGATTGCACCTGGGTTTGCAGTGAGTCATACCAACATTTCTCTCTCTTTTTTTTTTTTTTGGATGATGCTTCGTTAAGTGTTTTGAGCCTGTTTCATCACATTTTTTCAACTTATTTTACAAATTTAAAAAACAATCAGTAAAATAACATCAGAACAAAAATGCAATAATATTCAGAACAAACAGAATGTATGAAGTCATAATTTTTAATAATCCCAATAACATATATCACCATTGTTTTTTGTTGTGTGCGTTGAAGTCATTTCTGACTTATGGCAACCCTAAGGCAAACCTATCATGGGGTTTTCTTGGCAAGATGTGTTCAGAGGAGGTTTGCCATCGCCTTCCCCTGAGGCTGAGAGAGAGAGACTTGCTCAAGGTCACCCAATGGGTTGCATGGCCAAGCAGGGATTTGAATCCTGGTCTCCAGAGTCATAGTCCAACCACGCAAACCACTATGCCACACTGGCTCCATCTCTTCTAGGGTGGCTGTTTGTTTCCAGCATATGTAATTACATGATCAAATTGAGGCTGCCATACTTTGGCCACATCATGAGAGGTCATGAAAAGAAAATAATGCTAAGAAAGATAGAAGGTAGCAGAAAAAAGGAAGATCATATGCTAGATGGATAGACTCAATCAAAGAGGTCACAGGCCTGAATTTATAGGACCTAAGCAGAGCAGTGGAGGACAAGGGGTCTTGGAGATGTCTCATCCAAAGGGTTGCCATGAGTCTGGATTGACTTTAGGGCAGTTAACAGAGAGATCCTCTGCTTTTGAATTAAAGGTAGATTCCATCATGTTCATAAAATATTAAGAATTGGAAGGAATCACAAGAGTCATGTAATCCAACCCCATCCTGCCATGTAGGAATATACAACTAAGTTCCAAAACACACTGCAGAAATAATACATCTTGAGACCACTTTGACTGCCCTGGCTTAGTGCTAGGGAATTCTGGGAACTGTAATTTATTGTGGCACCAGAGCTCTCTGACAGAGAAGGCGAAATGTCTCACGTATCTACAGTTCCCAGAATTCCCTAGCTTTAAGCCAGGACAGTTAAAGCAGTCTCAAACTGGATGACCTCTGCAGTGTGTTTTGAACCTACAGCTCTCCTGAGAGATGCCCTTCCAACTTCTGTTTAAAGACTGCCAAAGAGGGAGAGTCTACTATTTTGAGGTAGGTTATCCTACGGTCAAACAGCTCTTATAGTAAAAATAAGTTATTGAGTCATTCTGGGCTTGTGGCAACCTTTTATGTCAATTTTATTGTTAACGTTAATGTTAATTTTATTGTCTTATTGCATTTGTAATTTTAATGTTTGTTTTAAGAATTTTTATTGTAATTTTGTCATGGTTTTATTGCCATGTTTTAAACCTTGTTGTTTTATCTCTATTGCTGTACTCCCGCCTCAATCCATCGGGAGAAGTGGGACATACAAATAAATATTATTATTATTTTGTCTCTAATGTGTCATAGGGTTTTCTTGTCATGTTTCGTCAGAGGAGCGTGTGCCACGGCCATCCTCTGAGGCTGGGAGAGAGTGACTTGCCCAAGGTCACCCAGTTAGGGTTGCCATATCCTGATTTTTGCCGGGACATTCTCAGTTTTTAAGGGTCTTTGGGATGTCCCGCCTGGTTTTGGGATCATGTCCTGGCAAGGGCAAGGCCTCCCTGACCCTGGAGCAGCCGTACGGAGCCTTGGCCGGTTGGCTGGCCAAGCAAACCCCAAAGACATCCAGGGGGTGAGGCCTCTGGCGTGGCTGCGCTGGGCCTCCAGCCAGCCCCAAAGACATCCAGCCTAGGAGTGAGGCCTCCCTAGCATGGCTGTGCGGGGTCTCTACCAGCCGGCCAAACTCCAAGGTGTAGTTGCAAGGAGGTCCAGGGTGGCAAGGCCTACCCCTGACCTCAACGCTGCCGCTGCCGCCGCTACCACCTTCTTTGCCGGAGGAGGCCTTGGGGGCCAGGCGGCGTTGTGCAGCCTTTCTTCTCCTTCCTCCATGAAACCGTGGCCTGGTGGCGGTAGCCAAAATCGGGTAAAGAAGGGGCTGGAGCAGGGGGCGTCCTCCAGGACAGGTCCTCCATTGCAGACTTCTCTCCAGGTTCAGGAAGGAGGGATGCCAACCCATCCTCCATTTGGAGCATGGCTTTGCGGTTGTGGTGTGCTTTCAATTCCTTTCCGATCTAGGGCCACCCTCTGCTGCAGTTTTCTTGGCAAGATTGGTTCAGAGGGGGTTACCATGGTCTTCCACTGAGGCTGAGAGAGTGTGACTGGCCCAAGGCCACCCAGCGGGTTTCCATAGCCAAGCAGGGATTCAACCCCTGGTCTCTAGAGTCCTAATCTAACACACAAACCATATTAAGGTTTTGTTTTTTAATTTTATTAATGTTTTTGGTTTTTTAGTTGGTCGTGTCCTCCATTTTTCTTGAATGCCCTACATTTTGTCCTGGTTTTGTGGAAGAGAATTATAGCAACCCAACACCTAGTGGGTTTCCATGGCCGAGCCGGGATTCGAACCCTGGTCTCCCAGTGTCCGAGTCCAACACTCAAACTGTTACACCACGCTAGCTCCGCTTTTGCAAAAAGTTATCTTTTTTCTTTGCAAATTACCATTTTTATGACTATGTACAACATTCTTGTTCAGGGATGAATTGGTTGTTTTGGGATTTCGTAAAAAAAATGCTTTTAAAGAATGCACTCTTTTTAAGCGAAGACTGACTCATGTAAAGAGATCTTTTCTTATGGACATATGGTTTGTCTTTGGCTGCATCCGCACTGCAGGAATAATGCAGTTTGACACCGCTTTAACTGCCACGGCTCAATGCTATGAAATCCTGGGATTTGTAGTTTGCTGTGGCTCCAGAGCTCTCTGACAGGGAAGGCTAAATATTTCACAAAACTACAAATCCCAGGAGCCATGGCAGTTAAAGCGATATCGAACTGCACCAATTCTCCAGTGTGGATGAAGCCGCAGTAACGGTCCTTGTGTCACTCTAATTTGAGTCTGAGGGCAGGAGGCGGACTCATCCTTCTCTGTGCTGCCATTGGCTTGTTTCGAAGCCAAAACCCGCCCCCTGGCTCCATCCTGCGTTCCGATTGGCTGGATTTAAAGCTGCCTGCCCTCGCGGTGGAGATTCAAGTGAGGAGACCATGGAGGCGGCGTGCTAGAGCGGCACCTTTCTCTGTTTCCTGGGAGGGCCCGTAGGGGCTGATGGGAAAAGCCGGATGCCCCGGAAGAGAAAGAAAGAGGCGGAAGTGGCCGGTTTTGGGTGGGGGAGCGGTAATTCATCCTTAGGCAGCAGGTAAGCAGGAGCAAATGGGAATATTGGGTGACATTTTTAAGTCTGTGTGTGTGTTACTTGGAGGTCTCTAATCTGGTGTGTGTGTATATATATATATATATATATATACACACACAGCCCTATCTACCCATCTACCTGTGAGTATGCTTGTATGTATGTATATAGGTACTGTGTGAGTGGTTGTCTGTATATATGTATATGTGTGTGTGTATATATATATATATATATATATATATATATGTTTTTGGCACACATGTGCCCACATGTATGCACATTTGCACACTATGTTTATTGGAGGAAGAGCTCCATTATATGACTAGTATATTCTTTCCATGCAGTGCATGAAATACCCCTTATCCCCATGCATTTGCTAAAGGACCATAACAGGAGGAAGTTCTCAAAGTAGAATGCTTGCAAATCTGTGGAGGTGTCTTCAGTTGTTTAGCAAATTTCCATTTCCATTGTTCGTCACTGTGTTTGTGGAGTGGATCTTTTAAAAATAAACCTAATCGTCAGCTCTAAATGCAACTTTTCTTTCTCTGTCAGGCTATAGACCAAACAGACTGACTTCCAGGGACCATGGCCATCTATTGCTGTAACATATTCCGCGCAGTAGCTAGGTCCAGGTAAGAAATGAATTGTTTATTTCTGTGGATTGAAGCATGTGAGTGTATCTGTTTAAATGTTATGTGCATCTTCTTTGTACTTCTTGATTATCTGAAATATCTGATTGGGGGGGGGGGGGGGGGGGGGGACTAGCCAGAATATATTTACTAAACAAAATTAAGTGGGACTTTCAGGACACACCACTCATAAGACTACTGAACATATGAAAATATAGTTTAAACCCATATGCATAAACAATGCTAAAGAGTGTTAAATACAGGGACCTTGCCATCCGCAGGCTTACCGTCTGCGGATTTGAGCGTCCGCAAATGGCAAACCCTTTGTCCCAAATAGTGGTGTGTAGCCATGTACACATCATGCCACCATTAGGGACAACAGAACTTGAGGTCCTGCATTTTTTTTTGTATCTGTGGATCCCCCATAGATACAAAGGTGCAGCTGTACTAGCTGCAGACCAAAATAAGAAAGCCAGCAATGATGAGGTGTGTGTGTGTGTGTGTACACACACACACACACGTCCAGTGGGCCCTAGACATACGCAAAGAATCCGTTCCGAACCCCCTCCCCCTGTATGGGGAAAAACGCCTATGTTTAAATCTTATTCATTTGTATGGCAGTGTGATCCTGTGTGCAGCACTGTGTGTGAGCCTGCAGCACATGCACCATTTTTTTCCTCCTGGGCTTGCCATACTCATAAACTCAAAGCTGTGTATGGCAAGCCCACATATGGCGCAGGCATACTGTATATCCCTGAGGAAGAAATTTCAAAAGTGTGAGGCAACCACTGAAAATGTAATTCCCTAGTAGCTACCAGGCAAATGGTTTCTTCCCCCAGGCAAAATGGGTATAGCAGCTTTTCCCAAACTGACACCTACTAGATGTTTTGGACTACAACTTCCATCAGTTATAGTCAGCATTACCCTTGGTGGGGCAGGTCAAGTTGCAGTCAGAACATCAAAAGACTGGGGAAGGGAGAAGTTGGAGCTGACATTGGAAATTTTCCAAACAACCTTTTATGTTTGGTTGTCTGTTTGCTTTGTATCTTGCCATCTTAAAGATTCAACATAACCTCATAAACGATACCTCCTTCGCTCTTTAGTTATAGGAGGGTGGACATCTGCAGTGATCATAAAAGTTTGACTGGTGACCAAGGCATGCCAAGATGTGTGCTTCTCCAGATGAAATTCCAGTTGCAGTACTTTGTTATAGCAAAGGTTAAGTCTGTTTTTTCTTACAGGGGACCTCATCTGCTTGTCCACTCCAGCTGCTCCCCATTTTCCCCACTAGTTGCGTTTGTCCAGCTAGTGGATTCTCACCTGAACTGCACACCTGTGAAGGACTCTGTAAGTCAGCAGCTTTTCTACAGCACACAGCAGAGCATTGGGCTGCCTCACTTGAGAACTAAGTCTGTGCGAATGCTACACACGTCTGCTTACTGGTACCAAGAGCTTCAGGACAAGCCTCCGCCTAACCAAAGCACTGCCAAAACAGACAATGAGGCAGCCAAGATTCCAGTGGACCAAGCCACACAGGTTGCCAA